GGGAGCTAGAAAATAAGTACCAAAGTGATATGATGAAAGCAATTAAGATCTTATATATTATTGTATTGTCAATGTATTCAAATATTTTTAATTAAATTTTTCAGAAACTTTGGTAATATCAAAAGAAAGCATTTACTGTTTTTTTCTAATTTTTTCCTATCTCAAAAAGAATTTTTTATAAGCACCATGTCTTTTAGCTAATTTTGGATATGAAAAAAATTATAAAATAAATAATAAACGATATATTTACTCGCAGATAACGCCTAAAATTGCGTTTCAAAAATTATAAGGTTAAATTATTTATAAATTAAGTTCTCTACGCCGGCTAGTCATTATTGCATATTCATCTATAATGTGATCTATAGGAATGGTATTAATAATATTTTTTTCTATGCTCAATAGAGCCAACGAATTTAATCGTTCCTGACCCATTGTCGATCGAAGATATGTTTTCACCCGTTTTAATGATGAAAACGATCTTTCACATGAGCAGGAATTAAAAGGTATAGTTAACGCAATTTTAAGGCAATTAAATATACGAGGGAATATATCTATGGGTAAGATTTTTATCAAATCTATTATTGATTTACACGTAGATTCGTGTTTTTTATTATAGGTTAAAATATAAGCCTTTAATATTATGTATTCTTCAATTGGATCAGGAAGATTATAATGTAAGATAAATGGTTTAATGATATCATTATTTAAAAAAAGGGGGGAGGAGGGATGTAAAGCATTTATAGCTATTAAAATATCTGCGTTTTCTTGGCAAAATCTCTTTTTTAATTCATTTATCATAATATCCAAAATTGGATAAAAGACATGACACTTATAAAAAGTTTCTGTTTGATCAGAATGATTAGAAGAAACAATATCATCTATTTGAATATAATTATTCAAAATGGTAGAAGGTATATTTGCTCTTTTATTTGTTATTTTTATATTATATAAATTGCAAAATATATTTACTTCGGTAAATAATGAAGAAAAATACGAATTATTTCTTAAATTTGACAAAGAACTGATAAGAGACTCAATAAGAGCCAATGCTGTTGATATGTCCGAATCTGATTTTTGCAAAAAATAGAAATATTGGAACACATAGATAATAATTTTTGGAATATAAACATACACATAATTGTATATATAAATTAATTTTTTACCTATTTTCTTTCCTTCTGTACTTACATTATTTACAATCATGTCATTCACAATATTTTCTTCATTATTCAATGAATCTAAATAAGATTAATTTTAAAATGTATTTCTTTTCAGTGTATTTATTTTTGTAAATATAATAAATAAAAAGTAATATTCCATATTATAGTGTCCATTTTCCAAATATATATATAAATAAGCAAACTATTCTAAATTTATTTACCATTTTTATTAAAATATAGTTTATTATTAAGTTAGGATAAACAAATAAATATATAATTATCAAATTATGAAAGAATGAAAGAATGATTGAGTAAACAATTTAGCCAATATTATCTTTATTAATGTAAAAAGAATAATAGTGTATGATTTTTTAAGATATTGACTATTTATATAGAAAATATTTACTATGTTTTATTTAGCTAATATTTTGACATCACCTTATGTGATTATAATAGAAAAATTTAAAAAAATTTTTCCATTTCTAGTGTCCTGCTCCTGAAAGGTGAAAATATATTGTAAAGCAATTTTTGCTTAACTTGAAAACTAAAGAGATCAATATTGTTTAATACTCTGGTGAAAAATGACTTAAATAGAAATTCTATAGAAATTAGGCAAATTTGGGAGGAAATAGGAAAAACATATAACTTCAATTATGATCAAGTGAAAAAGAAACCTTCCATTAAAATAGATAATTAACTAATAAATTTTTATTTTTTAAAACTTAAATGTCCAAAGTGTTTTGTTAATAATTTGTGAAAATTTTAAGGATTTTTTAAAAACATTTTGGACACAGACTTATATATAAATTTATTTACCTATTTTCTTTCTTTTAACATTTTTGTTTTCAATATTTATATCTTTTAAAACTACAATTAATCGTCTTTCAACTAAATCAAAGTTTGAATTTTAAAAACTGTATAAAATATACTTTGTTCATCACCAGCTTTATTATTGAATCCTCTTCCTTGGTCCTCAAGATTATTGCTACTTTTATCTTTAGTTTTTTTCATAAAGTCTTTAATGCTTAAATTTTTAAATCGCAAAGTCATTTTATTTAAATAGTGATTTTAAACTTGGCTTACAATATTAAATTTGTTAATTTTCAATTAATAAATCTTTATATTTATTTAATTAGGGTTATATAATAATTTAATTAATAAAAATCAATTAAACTTCAACTGTTAATGCTAAATTGATATTTAAACATTATGCATGGTATTGATATTTTATTTTTAACAAAGAATTTGATTGCAAGCTGACATAGTGAAAATATAATTTATATGTATTAATCTAATCTAATAAAATTTAGATAGTCTTATTAATTTTTAAATAATAAAATTAAATCTATATATTACTTAAAAGAATTATAATAAACAGGGGACAATCAAAAAAAGTTCTTTTTAGTTTAAGGGGATATTAAGGAATCATTAAAAAATAATTTTTTTTGCTTCAGGGGGCTATTCAAATTTTTCAGGGGGCTTGAGCCCCTGCGCCCCCCCCCCCCTAGTGACGCCACTGAACAAAAACCTGCTTATTTAAAAGGCTATTTAATTAAAATATAAAAATATATAAAACTAATATTGGACACTAAAACGCGAGAAATAAATTAAACACTAAAAAGCTAAAAATAAATTAAACACTAAAACGCGAGAAATAAATTAAACACTAAAACGCAAAAAAGTAAACGCTAAAAATATTATATAACATTATTGATTTATGATTCTTCACTTATTCTAATATCCAATTTGATCAATTATTATTCCTAATTATTCACGACTGTAGGATGATAATAATTTTAAAATTGATAATAATAACGACTGAGTACTACGAGCAAGCTACATGACAAAATCATGATTATTGAGGACAACTTACGATAAGGATATCAAACTTACTATTTAAGCAAACCTACGTGCAAACTCAAAGAAGATTTAAACAAATCGACGTACAAACACAATAATCGATTTGGACAAGCCAACGATTACAATGACTTTTGCAACAACTTGAACAATCAAAACCATTACATTAATTAACCATTTGGTCAACAAGCTCTCGATGACACAAGAAATCTTATAAAAAGCTTTCCAGAACAGAGAGATTGTTGATTAATGATATTTAATTTATTTTACAGTTATTCAAATTATACTTTTACTTTTATTTTTACTTTTCATAATTTAACCTTGTCTTATAAATTTGTGATTTATATATTCTAATTTCTAGATATAAAAATGTATATATATTAACATTTTAAGAGAAAAGTTTTTTTTAGAATAAAATTATATAGATCACCTAAACCATAGTTATCATTTTATAACAAAAACCAATTTTAAAAGCCATTTATTTATAAATTTTTGTGAAGATCATGAGATATTTGTCATTACTACTTGCTAACTATACATTCCCACCATTAATCGCCACAACTTTAACATCGTTCGGCTCTCATGTCATGGCCTTTATTAAAAAGCTAGGGCACCGGATCTCTGCTAGACTGAGGATTCCAATTAGGGATACAACCTACATCAGAGGTTGGAGCTAAACATGATAAAGTGAAATTATATCAGCTTTATACTTTCAATGACCTGGTGGAATATCCTGTGCATAGGATAGACTTAAGCTATTTATTTAGCCCCCAATTATAACGTTAGCGCTAAAAAGAAACTTAGATCACAATAAAAGATAGCAAAAATTAATTACAAAAATAAAAACGTGACTAAAGATGCGCAGAAGTCGAGAAGATCAGGGGCCACCAAAGTAAAGCCAATGCTACTTTTTATATGAAGAATTCACAAATTTTCGCTTGCTTAAATTATTAATATTATATTAATTTATAATTACCATCTTTATTACTAAAATTGGATCCTTAAACGAAGTTAATTTAAAAACAACAACAAATTTTTAAAAAATTGCAAAAAAATAAATTGTGGTAATAACGCTATTAATTCAATACCAAGCACACAAATTTATAGAAGAGGGAGAGGTGACGAACAAGTACGAAATCAAATTCAAGAAGTATACAATTTCAAGATCAAAGTGGTAATAATCAAAGACCAATCACAAATAAAATATTGTCTAAAAAATTTCAAAATTTCTTAATGGATATAAAAATAGATTTAAAAATTATAAATAAATTTTAAATTTAAAAAAAAATTAACTTTAAAATAAGTAAAAAACGCTATAACTTAAACGTGATATAAACTGTGAAATATAAAATTTAGCTCACATAATGTATAAATAATTTTTTTTTGTTGAAAATTGATGGAAATTGACGAGATGAATAGTGGAAATTTGACGAAATGATAACAATCAATCTCAACAATAGACAAACAAGCAACGATCAATAAAGAAACCAGACAAACAATAAGATGATAGAGGATGCGTGAAACTAAAGAAGAAGAAAAAAGAGAGAAATGTTAAATTTCATCCTTTATTTCACTTTATATTAACCAAAAAATATTAAAAAACATATTACTTACGCGAAATATTTTATTAAAATATCATCATTTATTTTATTTTATATAAAAAATAACTTGCACGAAATATTTCAACATCCTAGAAAATATTTTGTTTTACATTTATATTAAGGTAATTAATTTATTAAGTTTGGAAGGATTATTATTTTGAAGAACAAATTGTTTTATCTCCAGATTTTAGTAAGTCTACATTATGTAAAATTTTAGTTTTGAAATATATATCTTATGATGTATTTAACTTCATATTAGTAGACTTCTAGTTCACATCTCTGAGATAATTAATTTAATTAACAGCTATTAAATGGACCAATCAGAAAGTGCACGAATTTACGATCAAATGACCTTACTATCAGTTAGGCAATACCCATATTTATGGTAGAACCAAATTTAATAAATTTATCTGTGATTCAAAGTGAAGATTCTTTAGCTTTATCTCTTATTCAAACAGCCAAAAATGTTGCACATTATAAATTTATTAAAAATGAATGGATTGAAACAAATATTAAAGGTGTTTTATTTATTTATAAACGAACTGAAGTTCCTTATACCAGTCTTTTTATTTTAAATCGTCTACAAGTTAAGAATTTAATACAACCTCTTACAAAAGATTTGGAATTTGAATTGAAAGAACCATATATATTTTATAAAATTAACAAGAATGAGCAAGAAATATATGGAATATGGTTCTCTAATACAAAGGAATGCCAATGCATTTATTTACTTTTAAAAATGCTCACAGATCACTCTCGCCTAAAAAATAATAATTCATTAGAAAAATTTGAAGATATTCCTATATGTATTGAAAGTTTATTAAATAGCTCAAATGTGATCGAAAAAGAAAATTCAAAAATAGTTAATATAACTAATAAGTTCTTCAAAGAAAACACAATTAATGATAATGAAAAGGAGGAGCTAACAAGTTTAAATCGTAGTTTATTTAAACCAGTACCACTTATGCCTATTCTTAATGTTCTGAATCAGGATATTGAAAAAAAATCAAACAAAATTTTGCAAAAGGATCAACTTAAGAATACAATAATTTACCTTTTGCAAAATGATAAAAAATTTTTGGACCAAATTTATGATACATATGTTGAAGTTATGGATAATAATGCTTAATGAAGTCATTGATAATTTTAATTTCAAGATGCATTTAACTCAAATTAGTAAGGATCTCATGAAATTATTATCATGCTTTTATAGAGTTTTTAATTTTATTGTACTATTATAATTATAGTCATGTTTAGTGTTATCATTGTTATTTTTTAAACAAAAAAATCGTATAGTGAAACTTTTAATATATTTCTAATAAAAGGTATAGCTTACATAGTAAATGACTATATATTTTTATTATTAACTATATTAAATTTGAAAAAGCTTATATTAACTTTGTGTAATGATTAACCATGATTTAAATAAATAAAATAATTATAAAAAAAACTTGAGAATAATTATTCTTACATAATTAGGCTTAAATGTAAAATTATATTATTCATATTATTAGCCATACTGAGTGGGAAAAGTCATCACATTGATCCTCCTTGAAAATATTTTCAAAATTTTATAATGTGTTCAGACCAGACCAATTTTTTTATGACAAATCATATAAATATTGCCTAAGGCCTTTTATCATCATCATTAATTATTGTATATATTGTTAAAGTAATACACTGTATCCAATACATTTTTGCTTATCAAATTGTAAGGGTTAACAATTAATTTTAATCAAATACTAATATTTTAAAAAATTTTTGCTTAAATTCTTTAGATAATTTAATAAATAAAATATAAGAATCAAAAATAATAAATAAAAATATATTTAAAAAACATCAATTAAAAAACAAAAATTATTTAACTTAAATCAGTTTATCTTAATGGACCATGTATGTAAATACAGTTGAATCAGCAAATTTTGATTTCTTGTCATTAGTAAAACAATTCCTTTGGGTCATCTGTGTTTACATAGACCTTTTGCCCTATTGTTTTGAAAATGTTAGCTCTTGAGATACAAATGAACCACAAGTATCTGAAACCACCAATAGTAAGATGTCCATTATTAGTTTTTTTAATTTCTGCTCTTGTGATAGAGTTGGTGGAAAAGGATGTGGCAAAACAATTAGAGAAGTATAGATTTCAATTGCAAAGATATATTTCTTATATCTCAATATAATATTACCATGCAAATAAAAGGTTAATGCTATAGAAGCTCCAGACATCTAATTGTTGAAAAAACATATATTGATAAGCCATGAATGAAATTAGGTTTTAATATAATCTGATGCTATATGCATACTGGTTTTTAAAAACAAATCTAACTACTTGATATCAGTTGGAAAGAAAGTCATTCTAAATATTCTATTGTGAAAATCCTGATACAAATAAAACTTTTATTTTTTTGGGCATGACTAAAATACGCATCATCAGTCAAACGGGTTTAATTTATATAATATTAATAAAAAATCTTATTTAGCTTTATAAGATGAGTTAAGAAATGTTTTTTATGATTTAAAAAAAATGATAACTTAGTAAATTTTTTAAAAATTATTTTTTTACATCAAAAAACTACGCGTCCCCGGTCAAGATACATTTTTTTAAAAAAAATAAAAGCAGATTCATATTTAGCTCATTAAATGAATATAGAAAATGTTTTTTATGATTTAAAAAAAATGATAACTTAGTAAAATTTAAAAAAAAATTTTTTTTTAAATTAAAAACTACGCGTCCCCGGTCAAGATACATTTTTTTTAAAAAAATAAAAGCAGATTCATATTTAGCTCATTAAATGGATATAGAAAATGTTTTTTTTGACTTAAAAAAAAGTGGTAACTTAGTAAAGTTTTCAAAATACTAATTTTTACATAAAAACATTACACGTCCCCGGTCAAGATACATTTTTTTAATAAAAATAAAAGCAGATTCATATTTAGCTCATTAAATGGATACAGAAAATGTATTTTTTTATTTAAAAAAAGTGGTAACAGTAAAATTTTGAAAAAACACTTTTTTTCTTCATTTTTTGACTAAAATACGCGTCCCTACCCGTCCCCGGTCAAGATAGATTATTTTTATAAAAATGAATATAGAATCGTGTATAGTTTTTCAAGGAGATTCCGAAAATGGTATTTATATATATATTTTTTTAAAAATTATTTTTCGAAAAATTTTTTTTTTGACTAAACTACGCGTCCCCGGTCAAGATACATTTTTTTAAAAAAAATAAAAGCAGATTCATATTTAGCTCATTAAATGGATACAGAAAATGTTTTTTTGATTTAAAAAAAAAGTGGTAACTTAGTAAAATTTTGAAAAAACACTTCTTTTTTTCATTTTTTGACTAAAATACGCGTCCCTATGCGTCCTCGGTCAAGATAGATTATTTTTATAAAAATGAATATGGAATCGAAATTATTAATACCATTTTCGGAATCTCCTTAAAAAACTATACACGATTCTATATTCATTTTTATAAAAATAATCTATCTTGACTGGGGACGCGTATTTTAGTCAAAAAATGAAAAAAAAGAAGTGTTTTTTTTAAATTTTACTAAGTTACCACTTTTTTTTAAAATAAAAAAAACATTTTCTGTATCCATTTAATGAGCTAAATATGAATCTGCTTCTATTTTTAAAATAAAATGTATCTTGACCGGGCGCAGGGACGCGTATTTTAGTCAAAAAATGAAGAAAAAAAGTGTTTTTTCAAAATTTTACTAAGTTACCACTTTTTTTAAATAAAAAAAAACATTTTCTGTATCCATTTAATGAGCTAAATATGAATTTGCTTTTATTTTTTTTAAAAAAAATGTATCTGACCGGAGACGCGTAGTTTTTTTATGTAAAAAATTAGTATTTTAAAAATTTTACTAAGTTACCACTTTTTTTAAAAATCTTTTCTATATCCATTTAATGAGCTAAATATGAATCTGCTTTTATTTTTTTAAAAAAAATGTATCTTGACCGGGGACGCGTAGTTTTTAATTTAAAAAAATAATTTTTTAAAAATTTACTAAGTTATCAATTTTTTTTAAATCATAAAAAACATTTTCTATATTCATTTAATGAGCTAAATATGAATCTGCTTTTATTTTTTAAAAAAAAATGTATCTTGACCGGGGACGCGTAGTTTTTTGATGTAAAATAATAATTTTTTAAAAAATTTACTAAGTTATCATTTTTTTTTAAATCATAAAAAACATTTTTTAACTCATCTTATAAAGCTAAATAAGATTTTTTATTAATATTATATAAATTAAACCCGTTTGACCGGGGACGCATAGAGACGCGTAGTTTTCGGGGACGCGTATTTTAGTCATGCCGATTTTTTTGGCCAATAAAATAATTGTAGTATTATTTTTAATTTTGGCTACTGTTATTTCCTTTAATTTTGGCTACTGTTATTTCCTAACATAAAACTCTTAATTTTAACATTTTTTGATTGAAAAGTTTTTTTTACCAATTGTTGTGTTCTCAAAATCAAACTTTTTTAGAATCACCCCTTTCCTCTCTCTTTCTAATAAAATATTACACAAATCAAATAAGCAACATGGTTTTAAAAATGTTTATGTTGTGATTTGACCAAATTAAAAGAAATATTAAATTGTATTTTAATTTGTTTATTATTTAATTATGGTTTTGTATCACAAAAGTATGACAACAAGATACTTTCACCAACCCATTTCTTATCCTATCTTCTAAATCCGGAATATGTTTCAAATTTAACAGACAATGAGACTAAACTGGCAATGAAATGTGCCTATTATACATATCTTGGTAAAATTTCAGGTTAAAAATTTATGTCATTTAGAATTAAATTTATGTCATTTGAATGTTTAAATAAATATAAATTTTCTCAACTTGCAATTCCTACATTATCTTTTCAAAATATGAAAAATTAAGTATATTAGTCGTAATTAGGGCTGGGAACCATTATTAAAAACCAAAGATAAACTATATATTGTATTGCTATTGGGTCTAAAATATTGGCATTGGTTTAAACAATATTTTCTATTTCTTGTATTGGTATTGCTATTGGTTTATATTGGTATTGGTTTAAATTCAAATTATTAATTACTAATTAATAGATTAGAAATCGTGATTTAAAAAACCCGTAATTTCAGTTTTAAATGAACATGGAAGAAAAAAATCATGAGCATTACCATAAAACGTAGTCGTAGACAGGGGGGGGCAAGGGGAAATACCCCCCACCCCCACACTTCAGTAATTTATCCTTTTTGTGAATATCACTTTAATCTAATAAAAAATATCCCCCTTAGTCCCCCCACCACTCCCTGACCCTTAAAAATGTATGCATATATCTTAAACAATAATTTGAAAGAAAGAATGTAAAAGTATATATTTTTTTTATAAAACTATTCATCATAATTCATACATTTTTGAAAAAAATCATTTATATATAGAAAAAGTGAGCCAAATGTTTTTTAAAAAATGGAATATAAGCCAAAGATAAGTCTTAAGACAAAAGTGAAATGTATTTTAATTATAAAATAATATAATCAATGATATATATAATAGATTGGCGATTCATTCATTCAAAGCATTATAAAAGTGTCCACACATTGTAATCAGCTGTAGCGCCATTTTGTAGTATCCATTATTTGTCAGCAAGAAATATTAATATATAGAAAACAAGTCTACTTACGATAATTTTTTAATTTATTTATCTTAATAAAAGTAAAATATAATTATAAAACTATTGATAAAATTAAATCATAAATTAAATAAAAAAATTAAAGTAGAATACAAACAGTGGAATATTATATGTCGTAGATTTACAGTATATCTAATTTTATTTATTATCATATGACAATCAAGTAATTTTTACCAAATTAGCGAATTATATATTTTACAGAAAACTATAAAATATTGATAAGGAAAGGACATCAGGAAATATCTTTTAAAAACATTTTGAATGCAAATTATTGCTATATTTATTATCAAGAGCATTGATTAGTAAAATTTGTTAAAATATTAACTGTTGTAATATATTCTCTAACTGTCAAATATGTCTGTAAAAGTGGAATTTTACATAATATTTTGTAATTAATTCTATATATTATCAACTATATGTCTTTTTTTTTATAAATAAATTTCTTATATTT